ATGTAATAATTTAATAATCGTTATGGTAATTATTTTGATTTCAAATTATCTTCATAAATGACAATTATTATGACTCCTATATCTAGATTAATAATTAAGTCAATTTTTAGGATAATTTAAATCTAGATAAATAATTAAAAATTTCCTAAAAGAACTGTTTATTTTGCAAGTAAATTATGGTCTACTAAAATGGTCATATGTAAAGCACAAGCTACCTATCATGACCGAATTTTAGGACCTTAATGATTTCAAAAATTTAGTAAAGTATTGTACAACCCATCGTCGGTAATGCTTGGATGCTAAGCATAAATTTGGAAATTAAACAATGGTTACTCTAAATTGAACAATTCTGGGAAATTGAAAAATTGCTTGTGTCGAATGGGAGGAGATTTATATTAAGAAATTAATTTAACCTTCAAGCGCACTATAGGACCATTAATAAAATAATCATGTGATGCCCCACCGAATAAGTATGATTAGATTTTATTATATTGGACTTATATAATTATGGTAGGAGATTTAAATTAAGAAATTAATTTAACCTTTAGGCGCATTGTGAGCCTATCAATAAAATAATCATGTATGACCCTACGAGATAAGCATGATTGAATTCTATTGTGTCTTAATAATTTCAAAATTATAATAAAGTATTATATCGTCCATCACTCGACAATACTAAGTTATTAAAGAAAAATTCGAAATTAAACAATGAATTTTACATTTGGCAAAGCTTATGAAAATTCTCAAATAAAATATTGAATGGGTGGAGGTTTTAAAACTAATTAATTACTTTCAAAACCTACGAGCTCCTTTTATGGGTTTATTAGTGAAATGGTTATCGCTAAAGTTAGGGGTCATAAATGAACCAGAGACCTTTGGCCCAGCTCATGAAGGCCTGAGCTTACATGTCTAAAATTGGTTATTGGAATCAGACTTGGATTTGTCAAGGAAACACACTCATTCACAGACACACCAAGGAATTACACAGAGACCCAAAGGAGGAATCCTGTTGCAGAGAGTTGGAGCACTGGGGAACCAAGAGTACATCACACCAATGGAGGCTTGGAAAAATATTTTCTTTTCTATTGCTTTTTAATTCAGTATGCTAGGCTAGACTTTTATGTACTTAGGGGTAGATGGAACCCAATTAAATCGTATGCTTTGAATTAAATTGTCTCTGAATTCTTTTCTTTTGATAATTGAATAAATTTATCTGTCTCTAATGCTTTCTATGAGTTTGCTCCTTATAGATTGATTTAGGAAAATTGTATGACAATAGGAATGTTGGAGCATTAACCCTGACATGGTAAATTTATCACAATCCTTGTGATCTAAGGATAGACATAGGATAATTGTGCAATCTTTGAATTCTTGATCTTAATGCATGTTTTCTTGGGGAATAACCGGAGAACTAGGGTTCTTATAAGATCACATAGATTTAGGGTAACAAGGAATTGAGCCCTAATTAACTTAGAAAGAATTGATTGGCATTATTTTAAGAACGGATTCTTGACAATTTAATTCATTGCATAAAGAGGATATTGGGGGAAGTCGAAACCCTAACTACGCTTGTTTTTAATCTTTAAAACAATCATCTTTCCAATTGCTTTTTAAATTCTCAATTTTAATTTGCATGTTATTAATTGTTTTCAATTCCAATTCTCTTAATTTCAATCTTGATTGTCCAACTAAATCGCGATTAACAAACTAGTGTTTGAAAACCCAATCCTCGTGGGAACAATCTCGTACTCCGGTACACTTTTATTACTTAATGACCGATGCACTTGCCGAGTCGCAACAAGGGAAAAGAAGAAATTTTTCCAATGTTATCAATCGTGTATAAGCCCGACTTTAAAGCTGGAAGAGCCACCTTCTCTCCTTTGCAGGTCGTGTGACTCTGGCTAACTCAGTATTAAGCTCCATACCTGGGTGCCATATACAACATGGAAGTCTCCTTCTCTCTATTTGCAATGAAATTGAACAAATTCAACGCTCCTTCATCTGGGGAGATACAAGAGAGAAGAAGAAAGTGCACCTTATAGCTTGGGATAATTTGTGTAAACCCAAAAGTGCAGGGGGTCTGGGTATCCATAATCTAAAGATCCATAATGAAGCGTTTATGCATAAAATTGCGTGGAGGATTATCAATAGTAAGGAAGCTCTTTGGGTTCAAGTCTTAACCGAAAAATATGAGAGGAAAGCTGATACTATAAGACACCTCATTACTAAGCAGTATGATTCAAACCTTTGGAAAGGAGTGGGCAGAATCTGGAAGGATTTCCTTGATAGCCTCCACTGGAATGTTGGGAATGGTAAGGATATCCTCTTTTTGCAAGATAGATAGACTAATCTAGAAAATATGCTTATTGATTACATGTTACCTTCTGCTGACATCTGGAACTTAGACTCTAAGGTTGCTGATATGGTGGAGCACAAATCTAGAAGATGGAATTATGAAGTTATACAGAGGTATGTTAATATGGAGGCTGTTCAAGCTATTCATGCTACTCTTCCCCTGGCGGTTGATAGAGGTGAGGACTACTTGACGTGGAGTTCCAATGCAAACAACAAGAATATGGTCAAAGTAGCCTACTATAGAAAGATGAAATTTGATACTTTAACTCTTGATCCCTTGAGGAACTTGATTTGGAAATGGAGAGGACCTGAGAGAATACGTGTTTTTGTGTGGATGGTTTTCCATGGTCGCATTTTCACTCATGACCACACTTCCAAATGGGGAGGCTCCTCTTTATGCCATGCCTGTAACAACAAAGTGGAAAACATCACTCATGTACTTCGTGATTGCTGCAAAGCTATTCCCTTATGGAATAGCTGGTTTGCTGGCAAGATACCCTCGGACTTTACTACACTCCCTTTAAAAGATTGGCTGCGTAAAAATCTTCTTAGGGGATGGCTCCACTACCAACTTCTTGACTGGAGGGACATATTTGTTACCACCATTTGGTTTTTATGGAGGTAGCGAAATAGTGATGTTCATGATCCCCTATGCAGCAAGCCTGACAACCCATCCTCATAATTCCTGGTGTAACAACAATTGGCAAGTTGTTTTTCAACATATTGGTAGAGATGAAAATGCTTGTGCTGATAGATTAGCCAACTTGGCTTTCTCCTCTAGGGAGAACTTTATTTCGTTGCCTGTAGCACCTGATGAGCTGGGTCCTATGTTGGACTCTGAAGCTCCTATCTTGTAAATGTTTTTTTGGGCCTTTGCCCCTTTGAAGTACAAAAAAAAATAAAAATTCTATAGGATTTATGTATCCTCTCTAAGATATTTATAGAGAATATGTCTTTGAAGGTGGGTGGATTATTATGCACAATAATATTGAAAGCATAGCAAATGTTGGGTATATATACAATAACAGTTAAAAGACAGAGAATTAGAATACATATATCTTATTAGCTTAACTTTTTATTTATAAATAATTTATTTTAATAGAATTCTGGACTCTTAAAAATAATGAACCCCATTCTTGATCTATTATTATAGGAAGGAATTTTTTGGACCTGTTACATTGTACGCCTTTGTCCGGTTGATAACACTTTCTTATTGGGATTTGAGATTTTAATAATTCAGTGAACTTTTACATAACAAATTAAAGTAAGATGGGACAATATTACCAAAACAAAAGTAGGATACATAGGACAATAAATTAAGGGTTCTTGGACATGATAGGATATGATATGAGACTGATAAGAGTAGGATATGATATGAGACTGATAAGCCTACATCATGTCCTGTGTTTGATGAGCACCTGATTAACAATCTGATAAGATTATGAAGAAGGAGAAAGGAAAAATAAAATATAATGCAATAAATACAAATATATTGGATAGCGTGAAGATATATAGGATAGCGTGATGATATATTGGATATCTAATATTAGTATCATATCATGTTGAATCCTAACTCAACTCCCCCCATAGAATAAGAAATCATGTATTGGATTGGATAAGATGAGACAATAGGATAAGCTAATCATATCCTATTAACCCACCAAACAAGAGATAAAAGTAGGATATAATAAATTATTTTATCCTATTTTCTTTATGAGGTGCTCCAAACAGACCCTAAAACACCACGATACGTTTTAGTCGAATTTCAAGACAAAGCAGGTATGACATTAGTTCTAGCATTGAGCGGCTTATGATTAAGGAGAAATTTTAAGTAAACGCAGTTTATCGTGTCATATTTTATATTCTCAAAACATTATTATTTGATGCGATTCTTACAACTTTATACATGTTAAATACTTATTTAAGTACTTATGTGAAAGATTGTGATAACGTAATAAAGATTATTCCTTAATTTAAAAAAATAGTAAAATATTTTACAAAAAAAAAAATCTAATATTTTGACCATTAAAAATAATATAAGTATATCGAGTTTGTTTGATTCCTTAAAAAAAAAAGGATAGTATAACACAAAATAATAATATTTTTTTCGATTTTAAAATCTTATGTTTTTTTTTTGGTAAACAAATAATATAAGTATTTGATAAAAAGTAGTTTGGCGGAATGTATGAAACTCTGATTTTTTATCTATTAAATTAAGTTATAAAATTTTGTCTATGATAAAAAAAATCGTGTTGTTTTATTTTTCCAATTCTATTACACCTTAAACAAAGACAATACAAAGAGTATTATAAAGAGTTTTAGGTTATTCTATCGAGTACTTGTACATTATTCAATTAAATAATTAAAAACAAAAAACTTAACTTTATGACTCAAGAATTTTTATTGTATTGTTCTATTTGTAGTGTCATTCAGTATTCATCAAACACAAATATAATGCGTGTTTAGCTTAATTTATTTTATTCTCAAAACAAAAGTTTTAATAAAAAAATAATTGTTTTTTCATTAATTATTTTACTGGGTCAGTTTAGAGTAATTTGGACTATTGGGCCAAATCAAGGGCGCGATCTCCGGACAAACATGAAGAGGCCCAAACTGGGAAGAGCAGAGAAGGATGTAAGAGAGAAGTGAAAGAGTATGGTTGAAGAGAGAAGAAGCGGTGGAAATGAAAGTGACATGGAAGAACAAGAAGAAGAAGCTTTGTTTGCCAGCGTTGTCATACTTCATTGAGGACCAACCCTTTCCACAAAAGAACAACGATGCTGAAGAAGATGGTGATGGATTACATGCTCCCAATCCTGAACAGTCCCAACACTCTGACTTGGAGAAAGCAAGACAACTCGCTAAGGAGTTTCAAGCTCAAGGAGACAACCTTGCTGTGGTATTTTTTTTTTTTTGGTCCTTTTTTGATTATGTACTAAAGCTAAGGAGACATATAATTATGAAAGCTGTGTAAATGAAATTGCTTTTTTTTTTTTTTTTGTAAACATTAATCAATTTAATGAATCAAGGGTCACCCAATTTGTAATTAGCAGAAAAGTTTATGTTCTTTTCTTCTTGCCTGAATGGTAGTGGCAAAAATGGAATTAATATGAAAACCAATATTGGGATCATGGGAGGAATCAAAATTAGTCCACTTTGTGTTATCCAAAAAAAAAAAAAAAATTAGTCCACTTTGCAGTACTTCTTCACCTGAAAGTTGAGCATGGAAAGTTTATATTATATGGCTGACTTCAGATGCTTTTATTGTAATCAAGAGTTAGAGACTTGGAGTATGAAAACCTTGCCATAAACCTCCCTTTTATGTTCCTTTGAATTTTTATGGTACAATCAATGATGATGGATTCGAAATTGAACCACACTCTTCGCCCATTTAAGTTTTTTTTTTTTTTCTCTTTTTTCATCTCCAAACTTACCATTTATCCTAGTTCTTTCTCAGGCTATGCAAATATAAGCTACATCAAAACAGTGTTAGTCTATCAATAATAATGATTTGTTTAAAGTATAAATTCAGGTCATAATCAAATCATTGGTGATGAGTCTTCTTTCACCAAGTTGTAATGTGACATTATATGTTATTCAGCTGTATGGACATAGCGGTGGTGGCAGTTTCTTTTGCACTTTACTTGCAATTTTGTAATTTGGGATGACACTGACAAATGAGACTGTTAGATATATCGTAAATCTGTTAGAGATGTAATAAAAATCATTTTAGGTGTGTCCCCTTGTCCGTGTTCATTTTGTGTCGCATGTTCATATCAGTGCTTGTTTTTCATAGTTTATACCATATTCTTTCTTGCAGGATGGGAAGTACCGGGAAGCGCTGGGTAAATGGGAAACTGCTCTTACATTGGCACCTGATGTTCCAGTTTTGCATGAACAAAAGGCACAAGTTTTGCTAGAAATTGGAGATGCTTGGAATGCTTTAAAGGCTGCAACTCGTATGTGCACGCGCTATATTCTTCTTAATCTTGTTTATTTAATGTGTACTATAAATTTTAAACTACCAAATGAACTGTTTCTTGAGGTGAAATTTGAAATTAGAATACTTAATAAAGAAATTGCACTGCGATAGTAGCAATAGTCTTTATATTACTGTCAGCACTTAGCAGACCCCGAACGGCAAGATAGTAACAGTTAGTTAGAGAGAGAAATAACAGGATATAAATAATAGGATGGGAAGTAATAGAAATCAGTTTTGGTTTCGGGAAAAGAGTTTGGGAGGGAGAGCCAGGACTCTCGTATTTCCTGGGGCTGGGAGAGTTAATTCTCTATATTCATTCATTTCCATCTTCCCTCTTGATTCTGCAATCACCTTGATTCAGAATTTGGAAGAGTGATATTCAATAAAAGTTCACCTCTTTGTCTCTATTTTCCACTATTTTCTGGTCCAGTTCTTATTAGTACCCTATAACATTTTTGGGGTTAGTTTCTTCGTGCCACTATACGGGATTGACAACTGTGATATGTATTATCTAATCCCTTGTTTTCAATGACAAATTCAAAAAGTTCATCTTTCCCATATGAATTTTATATTCAGCAATTTGTAATGAATTTAATTTTGGCAATGAAGTGGATCTGTTCTGGGCTAATTTATAAATTTATTTGTGTTTGGGGATTTGCTGGTGATTTTTATTATAGAATTTCAATTCTTAGTCGTTCAGTCACTTCAGTGCTTGAAATTTGATAATTTATGTTCTCTACTGGGCAGGAGCTACTGAATTGGAACCATCCTGGGCTGAGGTCTGATCTCCATTATTTGCATATGCCTTGTAAAATTTAACATTATATTTTTGGCATTATTCATTCCTATTGATGATAATTCTATGTATCATTTTTCTGCTCCAATTTTTGTTGAGTAGTTTCAATTAGTAATTATGCCTAAGCAAATATATAATCATAGTTTAATAATGGATGAGTGGCATTTAAAAGATTCTCTTCAGAAATTTATCAACTTAATAGAGAAACATTGACCTTCTGTGTCTATGTGATCTATTTCATGCATATAATTGGGCTTCCTTATTTTGATCTCCAAATTTTCCTCCAGATTGCAATTTGAAGCAATATTGGCTTCTTGCCTTGTTTTGTTCAGTATATCCAAAAATAAACTATTACTTCTTAGAGTATGAATACATATTTGATATTCAAACTCATTTTCATTTAGACCTGGTTCATATCTGTTCTTCTGATGTGTATGCTTAAAAGTGATAAGGCCAACCTACTGCTGGAAAGGAATTAGCATTGCAGACCCAAGTTGCCAGATTCAGAACCTTGTTATATATTTCTCGTGTTTAAGATAGAATTCTCTAACTTCACGTCAACCTGAAAATGCTTGGTTGATTCAGCATGAACCTCTTTGATGCTGGGTTTGCTTCTATTTTTTGTCCATGTTAGATTTGGTATACAGTCACTGTGCTTATAGTTTGATACCAAATTTTTGGTGAAACGTATGTGTAGGACATAGTTTAATTATGCGATAGTTTAATTATGGATTACCAATGGTCATACCTACTAGAGCAATGCTACTTCATTTTAAAGTCTCCAAATTGATGCATTTATTTCAATCTTGATCCTTCCAGGCATGGGTCACACTTGGCAGAGCACAGCTGAATTTTGGTGAGCCAGATAATGCTATTGAAAGCTTTGACAGAGCTTTAGCTCTCAAGGTTAGTCTTCACGATGCTTGTTATTTGGGTTTGACGAGGCTCAAATTTTCTAAGCAGCATTGATATGTATATTTAGGAATCAAGGACTAGAAGATTGGCTGGTTATAATTGACATTCCAATATAATTGGATAAATAAAGTGTTGAATAATTTTACAAATCAAACATGCAGTTAAACAAGCACTTTGGAGATTGTGTTTGGAATAATTTATTCACTGGCTGGTCAGGACTTCTATATTTTAATTAGCAGAACTGAGAACGTCCGCTAGATTTTATTTTGGGCCTGTGGGTTTTTTGTAGTATGTTGCTCTTGCCACTGGCGTATGCAATTTTTCTTTTTATGCTTAAGCTGAACCACCAAAGATGCATCTTTTGATCCATCTTCAGTTTGATACTTAACAAAGTTTATTGTTTTGGCAGCCTGATTATGAGGAAACTCGAGATGATAGGAAAACTGCATTAAATCTTGTAAAGAAGAGAAAGCAACTTCACTCATCAGGCTTGAGTGCCACTCAAAATCGTTATGCGGTAGGTGATAAGGATGAACGCTCATGAAGGTATACAACAGTGGAGAAAGTTATCCAAATATTCCTATGTCTTATTTGATTATCTCAGTTTCTGTTAAGATAGGAGATTTTAAGTTGTATATTGTCAGCAACTGATTGTTCAAAAGGTTCATTGTGATGTACAGGTGGCGTGATAGTTATGTTTATGTGTTGATTAGGTTGTTGCAGATCGATTAGGTAATAAATGTAGAATGACCTTGTGCTGAGAATACTAAAAATGTGAAATCTCAATGTCCAAGACTTCCTGACTTTGGGAGAGTAGAGGTGAGGGACAATTATATGGAGTCTTATTCTTATATTTTTTCTTCAAAGAGACTATTTTTCAAATTTGAACCCGTGACCTGAAGCAATTTTTTTTAAGATTTTTCATCTTGTGTAGGAGAATAGTGATTACGAAAATTAAATGGACTATTCCTGAAAGTGGAAGAAGTTCATGTGATTAACAGGTTTAATTTAATAGATGGGACATGATATGGGCTGCCTAACTTGGTCCATAACCACAAATTAACCCAATTGTCTACTAAAAGGGTGAATCCAGATTGTGCGTGAATGTGTTTGTGTCATTATCATTATCTGCTTGTTATCCTTGCAACTATATATGTGGATTCTCCTTTGCAACAGAGTGAAATTTCCTTGCAGAAAGACCTATCTTCCGGATTATTCCCAAGCAAAGGGAAGGGAGGAGTGTGTAGGCGCTTTAGGGCTTCAGTTTTCTGATTTGACTGTCACACACATGATGAGTCATGACTAAAATAGGATTATTTATATGGGTATCAAGAAAGTCCTAACCCTAGGCTTCTTAGGCTATTCGCATGCATAAAAACCCTGATGGGTTTTTTGTATAAGAGCAAAACCTAATAGTAGACACAAGCCTAGCCCTCAGCACAGCAAGCCCACCCAATTGTGTGTGCTTGTGCGCGTGTTCGATTATGAGATATCTAGCCTAATTGATGGAAGCTAGGATGTTAATCTACATGACGAAGGCAATAACTTAATAGTATGGAATGGACCAGAGTTTGGTAGTGAATGGCCCTGAGCAAAGGGTGTGCGTATCATCTGTAGATTGATAGTGATAGTGATACTGATAGGGAGAAATGACCCTATATGGCTATATAGGGAAGGAAGTGAAACTTAGGTGGCATTAACCATAAACGGGTGAGTAGAATATTGTATTACTTTTTTCCAATTTTTGTAAATGATGTACTAAGTCTTCAGTATTATAGGAGTATTTTAAGATTTTTTTGAGGAAGTGATGTTGCGTGAATGATGAATGTATAAAAGTGGTACTGATATCCCTTTGATGTTAGAGTGATATAACTTAGAGAATGGATAATGTGTTTCATGGGTGGTTATGTATATTGGAGGAAGATTGAGAGTGATAGAGTGAAAATGCTTAGTGCATATATGGGAAAAAGGAGTTGAGATGCTCTACGCTGAGACTTAAAAGTTAATGTCACCAAGTGCTATTTTTGGTAAAATAAAATAAAATAAAATAAAATAAAAGAGTCAAAGACCAAAGAAAGGAAAGGACTACAAATCGAACAAATATTCGGTACAACGGAAGTAGATACATCCTTACCAAAAGGGGAAAAAATAAGGATATGAAAAACAATAATCATAAAGATAAGAATAATGTAAATGTATTATTTTTTTTTTCATGTTTAATAAAGAATGTACTGAATGTATACATTCATAATACTGGAAATATTTTCCTACAAATCCTGAACATGAGAAGTAGAAACCTCCATAACATTTCGCAACGGACTTGTGTGCGTTCAATGGTCTTTATATTAGTATATTTGCATGGATTCGTCGGTTTTCAATATTTAATTCATCACAAGTTAGAGTTTTTAAATTTACAAATCCACTATTTTCCATTTTTCCTCTTTATTTTAATACGGATAAAAAAATTACAAAAACAAACTTAATTAAGTCACACGGGTCGTTATCACTGGTGCATCCATTACGCAATGCAGCCAAGCTACAGACTCCCTTGGTAGTTTTATACACAGCGGATCAAGATCACACTTATAATTAAAGTAATGATTAGTTTTTTTAAAAACATCAAAAAAATCTACCATAGGAAAGGTAAAATAATTGAAATAGCAAATGATCTACCAACTTGATAAAGTGCAAGACAAACAGGGCTTGTAAGAAATTGGAATGAAACAATGAATCCTAAACAAGGGGAAAAATCATTCCTTTTGATTATCAATTAGACAGACATTGATTATACAAATCTAAGAAACATCGGTTTAAAATATGACAATACAAGATAATATACTCTACATGGAACATGCAAAGTAGCCAATTAAATTTCATATCAACCACATCTATTACAATAGTATCTGACCTGCTTAATCTTGCAGACTGCACTTACCACAGTTTCTGTTGATTTTTTTTCCTCTTTGGCTCTATATTCCTATCTTTCCAATGTTATGTATCCAAGAGTCAGCAAAATCTACCATAGTTTTACAACCTAACAAAATCAGTCATCCAAACCAAATGCAGGAAATATGAAATATTTGGTATTAGAAGTTAACACGTATGCCCTCAAGAAAACTCAAGTTCTCTGTGAGTCAATCTGGACTGCAGCTAAGTTCTCTTCAAAATTCAGAGTATTGGCTGCAGTTAAAAGCATGTCCATTCCTCCAACTTTGTCCAATTCCTGTCCACGTTTATTCTCCCAGTTCTTATCAGTATTATCATTTGGCTTTGAAACATTTTCATCAGCTCTCAACTTGTTGCTCTCATATGCCTTTTTTGCCCGGCGTATTACTTGGATCCCTGCATCACATTTACTACAAAACCATTGACCTTTTGGAACAGAAGTTCTTGGAGGTATCATGCAATAGATATGGTATGCATGATCACAGCCATCACAGAGAACAATCTTATCATCATCTCGATCAGTGAGGCAAACTCGGCATAAACAAGAAGGGCAATACCAACAGCGACCATATGACTTAATCTGCTTACTTGACAAACACCTTACATGGTAGTATTTGCTGGGGCAAAAAGAGTGACCACATATTTTTATTTTTTCACCATCTACCTCCATTCCACAAATTTTGCAGTCAGGGAAGTTTTTCTCACCTATGGAAACTTGAATCCCATCATAAGTACAATTAGGATTCTCTTCCACTTCATTTAGTGTTTCCTCATTTGTAGGGATGCTTTCCTCACCAACAATGTTGTTCAGGGTCTTTGGTATATTCAACCTTTCACACACCACACAATTCTCATGAGGAGATCCAATTCCCCTAGCAGTACAATTGACACAGAACCAGCTTTTGTGGGGTATTTCTTTCACAGCAGGCTCAATACAGGACACATGGTACATCTCCTCGCATGAATCACAAACCAAACAGTCTTTCCCATCTGCTTTGTCTCCACAATGCCTGCAAGTGCAAATTTTATATGTACCACATTCTTCTGTTCGCTCTGGTTTCATGTGAGACTCGGATTCCATGTTACAGAACTGTTTGACATGACAACATGAAAACAATTTTCAAGACCAGTTAATAAATCTCATCAAATAAAATGCATTTGGTACAGATTCAACAAGATAAAAGGACAGAGCTTTTCCAGAGTAAACAGATACTGTGCATCATGGATAGTGAAAGCTTGCATAACCTAGAAAGATAACAGACAGGACTTTCAGACATAGAAGGGTCTTAAAAGTCTCTCGCCTACCTGACTCCAGCAAATACTTACATGCCCAAGGAAAAATTAATTACTCTCTTCAATATTTCTTTCTCAATCAGAAAATAATGTTTAAGGATAGGAAAAAAATAACTCCCAATACATGCATAGTTATCAATCTCAGATAGCATCACTTAGCGGCCAACCCCAAAATCACTATAGCAGAATATCGGATAACAGGATAGCTGCTACAGTGAAGTCTGACAGGATGATGCCATGACTGAAGTGCAAACTGAACAGAGCTAGAACAGAGGCAAAACACACAAAAAAAGGTTTTAGAGTGCAAACTGAAGATAGGCAGAACATACAAAGTCAGAACTGAATAAAGGCAGAGTGCAGAGAGCCGGAAAACACCAGGGATTGGCTGGAAAACACTGGGAATGGCAGGACAACTGCTGGGAATGGCCAGAAAGAGCAGGACAGGACTTGCAGAACCAGGACAGAGAAGTGGATAGAACACCGCCAGCAACCAGTGGAGTTGACAGAACATACGAGAGAGAAAGAGAGTGGCATCTCCAAGCTCAAGGTTTCGATAATATTTCGCAATAGTAAGATGCACGGAACATATATCGGTGTTACAGATATAATATCATTGTATTTTAGGGAAAATATCTCGGGGATCAAATAAGATCCATTTTGTTTAATATGTTAATCAAAGGTTAATCCCTATAATTAAGTAGTTTCCTTATTTCTTCATTTAGAGTATCTTGTATATTGTAACCTCCTCTTTTGGTAAAATCAGTCCAATACCATATTTTCACCAAGCGGTCTAGAGTTCTATCCTTACCTTCCCCATTCTTCTTAAAAAAAGTTGAATTTCAGTACAAAATAGGTGAACCTGTGCATTATCCAGGCTCCATACCCAAAGGGCTCTTGAGTGAAGGCGCATGTTAGAGACATTGTATTTTAGGAAACATATATTGGGGATCAAATAGGATCTGTTTTGTTTATTATGTCAATCAGGGTTAATCCCTATAATAAAGTAATATCCTTATTTATTCATTCAGGGTACATTGTATATATTGTAATCTCCCCTACTTGAAAATCAGTCCAATACAATATTTTCACAATTAAGTTAAAAGGGGAATTTTAATTTTGTCCCTGAAATTTGCAATTGGAACACTGCAAAGATGGGGGTAAAGAACTTTTAACCTGCCTTCTAGTAGCAGGGCAAAAGCCGCTATTCCTCACGATTCTGCTTGCAGTACAAAAGCGTGAAGCTACAGGTTCAGAACCACGGGCAGGGGACACTATGTTACTATACCAGCACTATAGCGTGCAATTGATAACTATGTACATGAGGATTAAACTTGAATGAAGGACAGAATATAATTTTTAAATTTAATTGCAGTATATAGTTTCATTCTAATATATAGATTAGCAAAATAATTACTTGTCTAAAATATCTTCTAATCTATGGTTTACAATAATTACTGGAAATATTATGTTTTAGTGGATGCAGGACTGTTACAACAAATAATTTTTCATTCTTGCACAACATAAAATTATAAAGATAAAATAATATGCAACATGCATTTAACATAAGAAATAGCCAAGTCACATTTGATGGGTTACACATGGGACAGATAGGTGATTAACTCTGCTCATACAAAACCACAACCACATTCTTCATGCATTTTTACAGTCTTTTAAGAGAAAAACATGCAAAGACAAGAAGAAAGAGAAGAAATTTTTTGGTCTTTGATCAAGCAGAATAATGCAATAAAGCTGAGTGCTAGAGATGGGGAATTCTCTAATCTAAGATATAGCTCAAACAAAATTAAGGAAAAACAAAAGAATCAATTTTGTTCTCAGATCTTATGCTTTTGGTCAGAGCTGATTAATACTCAACGCCATGTGTCACTGTCACATGATGGCATTGGTATCTGCCAGAGTAGCTAGATGGTCTAAAGGACAAATCGATTGGAAATTTTGCCCCCCTTTTTTAATGGCTATAAATAAGGTCAACGATCCAGTGCAGGGAGGGAGAACAGGCAAAAGTTAAGGCAAAGCAGCCTCAGTGGGATTGAACCCAGCATCAAGTAGTCCCCAACCCCAAAGAGACTTGATGCCACTTGAGCTAAAAGACTATTTGGGGTATGCTTCTTTTTGCAAAATTGAAACATTAACTATTCTTTTTTCAAAAGTATCAAGGCGGTAAAGAACCAATTCAACCCAAAAGCTTAAGCTGTTAGGAGAAGCTGCATTAATGGCTTTATATTTCTCTAACATGTCCCCTTACACGAGAGCCCATTGGGCTTGAAAGATGGATGATGCATCAGGCTCAACCTACCTGTGTTACGAAATTCCACAATACATAATTATTTATTAACTGAATAAGGGTGGATGAGGATAGAACTCGTAACCACTTAGTCACTGAAGCTCTAATACTATGTAAAGAACCAATTCAATCCAAAAGCTTAAGCTGTTGGATGAGGCTACATTAATGGCTTTATATTTCTAAGGCAAATGGATGTATATCTGAAACACACAGGTGTGTATCTTGCAAAACCAAAACTGTAACTTATGATACTATGATAAAAGCAATGTTGTTTCTGATACATATTGTATACAATAGAGGCAGAGGTATGGGAGGACTTAAAATCCAGACAAAATTTTATCAGATTATGTAGATTGAAGCAGCTCTAACTCTGATGCTCAAGAAATTTGTCTAAACTTCAGATTTGTTAAACTTGATCTTGATATATGCATCACCAGCACATGAAATATTACAATAAAGATTTGATTCTCCTACCACTAGCTTTTCATCTTCGAATGAGCCATGTGCTAAAACTCCCACCTAAGGTAAGGAGAAATTATGGTTTCCACTTTACAAAAGACAAGCAAAAACGTAATGCATAGAAAGGAAGACAATATAAAATTCAAAAGCAAAGGAAAAAGTACAGAACTTAAGCATTTGGGGAAAAAATTATAAGGGTTTTCTTCACCTGCTCACAGTAGGAAGCTTTTGACATGTTGGAGAGGCTCTTAGCAATAGCAACAATCTCATTTCCAGTATCTTGAAGCTTTCTCCAAACCTAAAATTATCAATAAGGCTAAGTCATATCAAATAAGAACCAGAAATTAAATTCTCCTGTCATCTGCTCAGAGCCTAGAAATTAACAAGGATAATCTAAAAATTATCCTTAAATGATACACTTGTGAACCAGTTACATTTTCTCATTGAAGTGAGACACGAACTCGTCAATTTCAACTCAACAGTTTATGTAAATAACAAAATTGTGGAGAAATGGTTAAAAGAACTAAACATAAGAATATAAGATGCCCAAAACCATTTAATAAACATAACAAAGCATAGATACCAAAGTAGCATCAAAGCTCAATCCAAGACTATATGAATCCAACTAGACAAAAGCAATCCAAGACTATATGAATCCAAAAGAAAAGGCTATCCTCACCCATGGCATAAATTCAGGTCAGTTCGGAACTCTATGGATCAAGATTATGACAAAAATATTTAGGCTTCCTCAAGTTTTCAACTTTTTAATATATTACCATTTCCTCCAGCAACTGACTGAATACTCAAATTGGTCCTGCAATTAAAATCCTCAATCGGGGAGAATTAACTTTCTTGACACCACTGGTTTCTTGTGCGTTTTCAAAAGCATTCCCATACATCAAATAGTCAACAGTCACTATATTCTATGGTTACCCAATGGAAAATGCCAAATCCTGAACATAAAGACTTGTGGAACTATTCTTTTAGATTTAGCCACAGCTCAAAAAAGGAGGAAATAAGATTCCATAAGATAACATTATTTTAAAAATATCACATGGAGAAACAAAAATTAGGACCAAATTGTCAGGGGAAGATTAAAAAGGACAACTATATTTTTCTTCACACGATAACTATTAGTGGAAAGAGAAAGGCGACAGGCTTCATAATTGCACTAGTTCAGGAATTATTCACCATTAACAATGAACACAATATAACCAGGGCCCTATTCGGACTAATAGCTCAAATAACCACTTATTCAAGTAAAGCTTATTTAATAAGCTCCACTAGTGAGGTCTAAAAATAAACTAAATAAAGTTTGAATGGACATGTCAACAAGTGCTTACATAAGACTATAATTTAGATAATTTATCAAGAATAATTTTGTCAAAAATTATTATGAAAACAGAAACAGTCTAAGCTGTTTTAAGCTTTAGCAAAGGCTTATTTTTATAGGCTTCAATTTTTAGCTTACGAAAATTAGCCCAAAATAGGTTCCATGGGTTTCAAAAGCTGTCTTAAGCTCATCCAAACAAGATCAAAATGCTTCATAAGTGCTTATTTATTGCAGTAGATAAAAAGTATTACAAAATTGAATTCTCAACACGGTTATCATGACAAGAAAACATTTACTGAAGTTATTTTAAGTGCCTAGATCAGTACACATTTCACTAATTCATGTATAAGATCCAAGAACATAAGGAAAACCAAGAGTGAAATTTAAGACCAAAGTAGAAGCAAGTCTAGTAGTGGTAAGATTTGGAGGGAACAACAATAGATACTGAGTTCACATATTAATGAACATAAAACAGATGCACAAGAAAAGATAGATCAACAGACTGCATAGGGCAAACTGTAAAACAAGAGAAGATACCACGTCCTTTGACCAACTCCACACAAGTACAAGCACAAACAATTCATCATCCAACTCAAACAGGAGACAAGAAATTATGGAAAAAGATATATGAAAGCAATGCAAAGTTCAAAGAATCAAACAGAAGCAAAAATCGGTTTTTTGACCAAATATGCACATGCACTGCATACACAGCCCACCCAACAACCTGCTGTTTTGTACTGTAGATAATACAGATTATAAACAACCCAATCTTCAAAATTTAAAGCCAACAGCCTGAGACTGTAACTCTTTTAAAGAAGACATTCTTTAAAACTGCAAACAACCTGGGAACACTTTCTCTGGTTACATAGGGATTTTGCTTTAAAAAATAAGTTATTTAAGTGGACATATAAACCTCTGTTCACTTAAAGAAAGGATCTCTTTGAGGAACATAAGAGCCAGTCTAACTTAAACATTTGATGCATAAAATATTCACTCTGATTGAATTTTCATTAACTACTATTCTAAAAATAAGAGCAATATTTTCACCACAAAAAAGAAAAGAGCAAACCAAAACAAAGAATGCAAAAACATCACTTACTGCAAACCAACATCAGATACTCAGGGTAAAACACATTCATTCATCTAAAATTTTCAAACTTTCTCAAGAAAAATTATATAGCATGTTAAAATTGTTCTGATGTAGAGAGGCTATTAAAAACTACCTGCTGAAAATCTGACAAGAAAAGTGTAGGTGATTGTTCATAAGCGTGTTCTTTCATCCTTGAGTTTATGACACTAAAGTCAAATAGACTTTCAGGTTTCATTCCTGGGAAATTTTCAAGTAGCACTTTACATAATGAACTGAACTTTTCAGAGGCTAAGATATTACAGAACACATGCTGACACCTCTCAGTCACACCGTGACAATGTGAGTCACTAGAAAATCCATTATGCATGACATTTGCATGCCCATTAGCTTCACTCCGTAATCTATGAGACAACCACTCAAATTTTGAAGAGCATTCTTGACCATCTTTGTCAATTTTAGAAGTTTCCTGCAGAAAAATAAGATGAAACATAAGATGGGAGAAACAAAAGTTATTGTAAGCAGGAGGATATATGTAGTTCTAGCTGTAGGACCAACCATAACTATATTGTCACAACTAGTTTTAGGACGATTCATGGGTGCTTCACTAATGCACCTCTCTATGCCACCATTGTCATTGCTTGATGAATGATATAAATGCTTTAGCACAACATTTCCCCAATGTCCATGTGAATAATCTTTTGAAGTATTACCTACAGCTAAATCACATGGTTTCTTCACAGCCTGCAATCATAAGAAAATTTCAAATACAGCTGTATAAAAAAACCAAGAAAGAGTATTTAGTGAGCTTGAAGTCATCTAGGGGCCAAGGTCAGAATCATCTCTACACAAATCTAAATAACAGCCAAATCTTATCACTTCCCATCAGTCAAATACAAATACTAGTGTCTAGTAGCACAAATAATGAAAGTCAAGCAAAGTAATGGGCGGAGAAAATTGAAACCCACCCTCTGGACTACTTACATGAAATAAAAGACATGATTAATAATGTAAGATTAGAAAGGAAAACAATTGCAACCCCCTTCAATGCCCCCCCCCCCCCCCTCTTCTTTTCCTTCAAAATAAATGAATAGAATAAAATGATGCTGGACATAAATTTCAAGGTTCTGCTAGTAAAAATAAACACCTAATTGTTTTATCAACCCAGCCGTCAAATTAAACATCTTAAAACATACAAATGGTATCATTTTCTCCTTAACCTTGAATGATAAATCTTCATTCAACAGTGTAGATATAAGATAATCTGATCTTCGCAATAGACAGAAGCAATGCCAAACACAAATTAATCCTCTCTTGCCATCAAAGTTTAATCCATGCCCTTGATCAATACATTTAAGATTTTAAGTACATCCTTTCCCTAGTGTTTGAGCTCTGAAGTATACTTCTCCTAAATTGCAACTTAAATACATTTTGCACGTAATAATTTTAACTTAAAGGGCACAGATGCCTAATCTCTTAAGCGCAGTAAAAAAACCACTCCCTATGAAACTCCAACTTGCAAGGGTAGGGGTGAGGCAAATTCATATACGCAACCTTACCCTTGTATTTTTGCAAAGAGTATATTTCCTGAATTTGAGCTTGTGACCTCTCGGTCACCAAGGAGCAGTTTTACCACTGCTCCAGACTCGTCCTCTTGCTCTTGAGCACAATCAACAACATCAACAGCACCTTTAACCCAAGCAAATAATTGGGGTTGGTGGTAGATGAACCAATGATAGAAACAAGATTGAAAAAAAAATGTGATCAACAACATCAATATTGCTCTTGAGCACAATATTAACAAAAAGAAAATGCTCCAGATTCTTTCATGTGTAGATGTCCTCATCATTTTAATCCTTAAACTCACAAATTAAACTGGCATTAACCTAAAGTTATCAACATGTGAATCAAATGCAGCTCAGGGTTAATTAGTTTGTTCTTACAGTTATTTAGTATACTTATTAAATTCATATTCAAAAGAAAAAAAAAAATATATGAGTAACTCCATATCCATAAAGCATACGCAAATTAAGAGCTTCACAAAAAAAAAACATTAACAGCATTTTATTTTTCTTCAGCTAAAACAGTAGCATTTTGCTTTATGTGTCTTTTTATGCATCACTCAGCTTAATAGATCTCTTACAAAAACTTGCTAACATGGATTTAGAAGCCACTGTAAGAAACCAAAAAACCCAAAACCTTATATCTTAGGTTAGAAGAAATGTCTTAGGAACTAGCTGAAGGAATTTATCATACCACTCCATCCAAACAAATACAAAGAGTGAAAACAGTCACAAATAACCCATGAAGCATAATATATCTCCACAGTCAACAATATTTCCTCTATATGACAAACAACTATAAACAATTACAATTGCAATTGCAATCCATATAAAACAAGCATATGCCTTGACATCAGCACTTTTGGAAATCATTCCATAACTACAAGTTAAAGGCACATGCTATCTTACAAGCTGATTGATCACTTTTTTTTGTTTTTGTTTTTGGGTTCATTGACAATCCTAACTAATTTGAAATAAATGTGGGGTGTCTGCGAGTGTGTGTGCAAATTGACAAGTAACACTAGAGAACCAGCACAGTCACACATGCAACACATGATGCGAAAGGAATAGAGGAAACCTGGTCTGATAGGTGACTTGCAGCTTCCACATATTCTCTGCTGTGTTCCTGAACTTTACTTTCTGAACTCGACTTTACATGCTTACGCCTCTTATAAGTTCTAAGACATTCAATTCCACCACAGTCCCCTTCAGGAACACCAAACCCATCTGCAATTGACACTCCATTAACTATGGTTCCATTCTTCAAGCACCGAACCTCTCCACCTTGAGCAACACCAAACCCATCTGCAATAGACACTCCATTGACTATAGTTCCATTCTTCAAGCACCGAACTTCTCCACCTTGAGAAACACCATTCCCATCAGCAATTGCCACTCCATTATTTACAGCTTCATCATTCAAGCCCCGAACTTCTTCACCTTCAGCAACACCATTCCCACCTTCAATAGTCACCCCATTATTTACAGCTTCATTCTTCAAACACAAATCCGGTTCGGCTCGTTCAGCCTTATCAGCATTACTAGTTCCATCCTCAGCTTCCATCAAAACAGAACCTCACTTCTCAAACCCTCGCAGCAGAAAATTAGGGTTTCACACCAAAACAGATCCAAATTTTTTCGAAGATTCACAGTTCACAACTTTGACAAAGCAAAAAAACGCTGAAAAATCAAAATAGCAAAGTCATTAAAACACCACAACTTAAAACAGATACACATTCCACTCAGTTTCCCGCAAGAACCAAACAAAACCAATAAAACGACACAAAAAAAATTGCAACTCGGAGCACAAAAGGTGCATGTAGTTTACGACTCTTAAAATAGAAAACTCAAGTCAACCAACACAAGAGAAGCACCAAGATGCGTCGGAGGCAAAAAAAAATTGGTAGAAACGCACACAAAAAAAAAATAACCACCCCCATTTTTTTTTTTAACCCTGTAAGAGGTTAGTTTCTGAGAAATGAAACATAAATAACGAGAGAAAAAAAAATTGAAGTTGTGGAGGAGAAAGAAGAAGGGCTTACAGTTACGGAGATTGGAGGAATGGTAAGAAATTGAAATCCAAAGAGAAACGAAACGAAACGAAGTTGCGGTGAGTTTGGTGAACTTATTGGCTACCTGCAGCGGTAGCAGAAGCAGCAGCTTCTATCTTGTGTCTTTTAACTCTTATCCTTGGAGCTTTTTTTAAAACATATTTGAAATACAACCGTCTTTCTTTCTTTCGCCGGTTAATTTTTCTTCTTTTTTTTCATTAACTTTTTTTCATTAATTTTTTTTTTTTAAGGTTCAATGTATAAGGCCCATAATTGGGCGTGGGCTTTAGGTGGTGTTTGGTTGGGAGCTTTTTCAGCGGATATCTATCTTTCTCAAGTATAATTTTTAGAAATACCATGTTTGTTTTAACGTTTTTCACCAAAAACTCATTTATCCAATTTGTCTGGATTTATGAGAAACATAGATATCTGCATTGTTTAGAAACCCAATTTGAAGGTGGATTTTTCAGAAAACTGATTATCTGGCTTTAATGCACTGTTGATTTCATAAAGTTACCTAATTTTCTTAATAAAATTTTTCCCCACCAAACAACTTTTTTTTACATTTTTCTACCTATCTCACTTTATCTATCTTTCCAATCATTTCTCTATCTATCTCATTTTTCTACTATTCTAAAGAAATTTCCTGAACCAAACGCCCCCTTAGGAACTCAATGCATTACAACTTTACAAGTATTTATACTATACTCTAATATTCTTTATATAGGTGCAAACTAAATATAATTTTTGTTTTTTTATTGTTTTGACTTTTACTCAAAAATGGAAATGATCATCTATGAAGGCTTTCGGTGGAGTTGTATTGATGGAGGAAAAAAATTGTTAATCCAAGTTGGTTATTTTGTTATTATAGATTGAATTTTATTTTAAATACAAAGAACAAAAAAATTGATTTGAATAAAGTTGGATTATAGTAAGAAAATATTATCGAAGAATGGAACCTCAAATATTGTGTTGTTTAATATAAAAACAATTAGTGATATAATCATATAATAAAAAATAATTTCACTAGTATTTGTTGTGCTTATGGTCACTTGTCTTTGTTATGGTAATTCCCTTTCAGTTCTAGATTTTGGTTTCTTTGAATATGCTAGAAAACCACAGGTCTATTGTTATTTGTCTTTGTATTTGCACTCACACAAATTCCATACCAACACAAACATCTTAATATGAATATGATATAAATAAACTATTAATTTTATTTTTAAATGAAAATTATTTAAACAACCTCAAATTAATAGATAAAAATGGATGAGTGAGGTAGATATGTAGTTATATAATTATTTAATTTAAACGAGTTAGTACACGAACATAACATGATTTGAGCTGTAACTTTTTAATCGATACGAACACAAAAATAGGTTGACTCAAACACAAAAATGATGTGTCGTGTTTGTATCGTGTCTGTGTGTCGTATTTAAAATTATCATCCCTAATTGTCATAATATTAATAAAACTTTTGAATTAAGTATCAGCAGCATTTGAAGGTTCACATGCCAATCTCACTAAGGAGTAAGGATAAAAGACTACCCCCAATAAAATTGATGTATTGTTGACCAAGTTGAAGAGTGAGGCATTAGCCAATGTTGATTTTGCTAGTGCCCTACAAATTCATATAAAATGATTGCAAATTTTATCATCTTATTTACATGATTGTGTTGATAACACCATCAAATTTACATTTTAGTTGATTTTTTTTCTAGGTACTCTAACTACTAATCGATGCATGGGATAAATGTTAGTCCTGATTTGACTCACTAAAGGCAATGATCAAGACATGGTAGAACATGAGATTAAATTAAAAAGATATAGATTTTATATCTTTTTGCTGATTTAGGGCTTTGATTATTTTTGAATATATTATTTGGTAGCCGTCATACTTAAGAAGGGTCTTTACTCTCATCATCATGTAATAAAAGTATCATTCTTACCTTACACATTATACATACAACTCTTATTGATTTGAATGTCAAAGTTTCTTGCATTCACTAGAGCATACTTAGGAATTACTTGGGCACCACTATTAGACCTATTCCATGAAAGTTCAAGCACCACTTCACGATGTTTTCATACAAAGTTAAGGAAGACCACCAACCTCATTAAAAATTTAAAATGAGATTATATACCATGAAACCCAAGTTATGGCTAACATGGTGAATGATTTGATAATTTACCTTTTGGCTCTAGATTAATGGAAAAACAAGGAACAAATCAAGCTATATCGGTGTACAAATAATATTGAGTTTTAATGTTGGAATTTATATGAATAATATTGTAGTAAAGTGGTTCTATCATGCCATAGAAACACCAAATATGGGGCCACATACTTTTCTAAAAAAAAAAAAAAATCACATATTTTGATGGGTATGTTGGAAGCAAACCCAATCTTGTGCAACATAACCAAAGCATAACACTTTAAAGTTTAGCCTTTATGATTTTCATTTTGGCTAGCATTTTAATCTCGTAGCATAGGAGGTAATAAAACAACATAATTGCTAAGGAGTAATCTTGTTTTTTTATCTCTGACCTTTTTTTATTAAGTACTTTTTTTGGATGTGCTTCTAAAATTAAATTTTATAACATTAAAGTGCCCCAAATTTTTAAAAAAAACGAAAAAAAAGTGACTGAGATATTAGATTAGATATTGAGAATTATTATAAAATTTATGTCGTTAAAGCATCAAAGCATTAGTGGTCTAGTGGTACAATAGTACTCTGCCACCGTACAGACCCGGGTTCAAATCTAGGCTGATGCAAATAGAGCAGTGAGGAGACCTGTGCCAACTGTGATGGATGGGTCTATCACCAGCGTCTGATTCTTCAGACGAAATGTGGCGCATCTGAGCTTTACTTTTTTACATATTTCCTTGTATTTATAAAGGGAAAATATTTTCATATTTTAAAGGAAAAAAAATTTCTCATGTTAGTGACTCATAATTTAAGTGGGACCTACTTATTTCGGCAGTTATTTCAGCGCAATACGAAATCGTTTTAATTTTTCTAGTTCATGAAACATATACATCAATAATTCAGATCATTCGGTGTTACTTTTCTCTCTATTTCATCGATTTTCACAATGAATACGTTGTTATATCAAGTGTGTCTCGTCACATATATGATCCAATCCCTTCAGTTTAATCATATAATCATCTATTCGGTTTGAATTTTTTTCCAAATTCAATCCTATCCAATTTTATTCGATTTGAATTGGATTAGATTTCAGTTTTTTGAAAAGCCTAAGATTTGTATGATGATTGTTGTACAATGACATATCTTTATCTTTATATGTATTGGCTTTTTAAAGTTTGTATGATGATTATTGTGCAATCTAGAAGTATTATACAACAAAAAGTTAAATGATGATCTTTTGCTTCCAATAAAAAATTTATAATATGGTTGCTTAATATACAAAGTAATCCAAATTTTCATCCTATAGAGGAGTTGTTGTACAATAATAACCTATGTAATAAAAATATTTTATGTAACTTACAAAAAAAACCATAACATAGATCAAACACAATCCACTTTATCCAACATAATGAGTTAATGAGTCTTGGATTTATAATTTTGTTATATGGTTTTTGGGCTATGATCGGGGAAAGACCCAAGTAGGTAGATGTAAAGTTGGGGAATCATTGGATCGGTTTGAATTGGATCAGTTTTCACCAACCCAATTAATTTTTGTGATTTTTTTTTTTGTTTTCAATTTTTTAATTTTTGGTTTTTCAGTTCGGTCACCGACGTTTGAATCGGTTGATGAATACCCCTACTTTTATGTGAATGTGACAGGAAAATATTTCTGCAGTAAAAGGAATTTTTTTTTCATATATAAAAGTCTAGAATAAGGGAATATATGTTTTCATAGATGGTCATGAAAGACCACCAACTTCATTGAAAATTTAAATTGGATTTATACCATTTTCCAAAGGGGAAAAATTCAGAATGGAACCCAAGTCATGGCTAATATGAACAAACGATTTGATAAATTTAATGGGAAATAAGCAGTGTTTTAAAACTCGGATTGACTCGGGTCTCGGTGACCCGGTGAGGAAATCGATTTGGGTGGCTGTTTGGACTGGTCATGCACTTGGCTCGGTTTATACCGGTTGACCTAATCGAGTCTCGATGACTCGGTGGGTTAAACGAAACCTAGTTGGCTTTTTTTTTTAGAAAAATGACCCATTTTTTTAAAGTTTTGCTTCTTATTCAAACAAAAGAAGGGGGGAAGTCTTAAGAAGCTGGACATGCATTATTAAGTCGAAAACTGAAGGAAGATCGCAAAAATAATTTGATTTTTCAACTTGAAAAAATAAAAAAGAAACAAAGCTATGGTTGGGACTTGGGACTATGTATAGTAGCCAACTTTTTAGCCCTCCCTAAATGTGCATTTGTTCTTTTCTTCCTATTAATATATTATGTAATTGAAAAATGCCTATATTTTACGAAAGCATTTGGATAATCGGTATTGTTGTTTTCATCGGCTATGCTTTTATATTTATAAAGAAATATCCATAGTGCAATTATTTTTTATCTGACATTTGCTCTGTATCGTCTCAAAGTGCATAAAATCTTAAAGATGATGATGTTATTCTGTCCCACTTTTTTACCAGCTTGTTATGGCTATTGATTCGCGAGATCCACTTTTAATATTGATTCACAAATTTCTTATACCTCCCTGAAGGGGTTGGATTCATGAGAGATAATAAAATACGCTAATTTTACATAATTTAGTTAATATATTCTTTTATTTTTATGCATTTAGTTAATATTATTCTTTTAGTTTCATGCATTCCAGTCACCTTTATGAGGATTTGATTAAAAAATAAAAAATTATGCAAGTTGTTAAGATAAAAAATATAATATTGTCACTATGTGTTGCATATAGAGATACCATTTTTTTCCACTTTTAACATTTATTACCATTCACTTACTTCATATAATTATAAGTAACATATTTATATTTTTTTAATATGTGAACATTATATCCAGTTAAACTCGGTTGAACCAATGATCCAGTAACCTAATACTTCGACCGAATTGATGACCTGTCCAAGTTTTAAAACTGAAAATAAGAAACAAATGAAACTATAATGGCAAAACTATGGACTTTGATAATTCCTTTACAAATTTCTTTTTTTTAATGTTTATCCTCTAAGATTTTTATTTTAGCTAGCATTTTAGTCTAGTAGATAGATATGGTTGTAATATTTAAGATAAGAAGTAAATTTTTTTATTTTTTATTTTTTTTTGTTACTTTTTGGATGTGCTTTTAGAATTAGATTATTTCTCATAGCAGTAAATTTTAAAATGTGCCCCGAAATTTTTATTTTTATTTAAGAACAAACGTTAATGAAATTAGAGATTAGAAATTGTTAATTATTACTAAAATGTATTTCTTCATACAGACATCAAAGCACCAGTGGTCTAGTGGTAGAATAGTACCCTGCCACGGTACAGACCCGGGTTCGATTCCCGGCTGGTGCACATTAAAGCGGTGAGGAGATTTGTGCCAACTGTGATGGATGGGTCTATCACCAGCGTCTGATTCTTCGGACGAAAGGGTGGCGCATCTGAGCTTTATTTTTTATTTTATTTTTATCTGTAGTCATCCTTGTATTTAAATTGTTATTGTATATTCAAGAAATTTCACCAATTCAAATCATTGTGTGTTACTTTACTCTCTATTTCATCGAATTCCACATTTAATACGTTGTTATATCAAGGGTATCTCGTCACATACCCCTTTTTTTCTGTGCTCAACCGATCCATATATTGTCATTGACTCGAAGCCATGCGTAGGTTGCTTAAAGGGTGTAAATATTGGAGGCATGTAACAAGTGACAGTGTCCTGAAAATAACAATTTGTTGAAAAATTGGAGGATTATAGAAGCAAGAACTACCAAATCGTATTACCAGGCTCAGAAATACCTCTTTTCCGAGCAAAAACATTAATGATATTGTGGGTTTTGACACACCATGAAAGTTAAAACAGCTCATTATTTAAAAGTATCTGCTTATGGTTTTGAACATTCAGCAATCATTTTACAACATAACTGATTTCAATAATAAGAGGTGAAGCTTTCTTGTTACAATAATAAACAGCTTTAACAATTGCTAACTTAATCTTACATCACAATAATATATATTAAAAAAATTGTTTACAAGAAAAATTGTTATGAAAGTATAGAATCGACTTTTTAAGAACAATGCAAGGATTATTGTCATGGACCTATATAAAGTTCATATATTTAAAAGCCCAACAAAGAACAATCACATGACAGTTATGCAAGAAAACAATTAGACTTATGGTAAGAGGTTCAAAACTCATATACCCATAAGTAAAATCTTATAAATAGGAGATAAAACTAATAGATATGACCTAATCTCTTTCTCTCTAACTGTTATGTTGTTATAGTTGTGTTGAGTGATATGTTACTTCAGGTTATTTAATCCATAGATGCCCGAAGAAAGTACTCGATCATAGATTGACCTACTAACTATTGGCTAGGCACTTCTTTCATTCAGAGAGAAGAATTACCAATAGTCACATTTTTCAAGTACTAAATGAGATTTCAGGTAGACAACCATGTTCTGGTTGCATGATCCAATATATGGTTCTTTTTGTTTAGTTACTATTGGAATTGAGCAATTCAGAAGCGCTTCTCACATCTTAGTATCTTCCAGCTTGCATAAGGACCCTCTCCTACATCATGCACAGAATTCACCCATCCCATTGCAGTTGCAATTTCTTCAAGTTCACTAATAACATGTATGTCGTCACGTATATAGACACGCCCACATGGTCTTAGCATCCGATCCATCTCAAGCATTATGGTTGAGATATTACACCTTTGCCTGAGACCAAATAATTTATCAAAACACCAATAACAGCAAATGCCTATAGAGAACTAAGTACATAATTATGACACACCTCTTTTTTTCAACAGAGATTGAAAGTAGCAATAAGGCAAGTGGTACTATGTGTTCTGTTATTGACTTCGAATTCTTATTGTGAACCCACACAGGTAAAACTAAAATGCATACTCATATATCATCTTTCAAAAGGAGATTAAAATTTTGAAATACAACCGTCTTTCTTTCTTTCGCCGCTTAAATTTTTTCTCTCTCTTTTTTTCATTAATAGTTTTTTTTAAGGTTCAATGCCTAAAACCCATAATTGGGCGTGGGCCTTTAGAGAATTCAATGCATTACAAGTATTTATACTCTAATATTCTTTGTATAGGTGCAACCTAAATATTAATTTTTTTTTTTATTGTTTTGACTTTACTAAAAAATGAAAAGGATCATCTATGGGAGCTGTCGGTGGAGTTGAATTGATGGAGAAAAAATTGTTAATCCAAGTCCACAATTTTTGTTTGTTAGTATAGGCTGGATTTTATTTTAAAAACAGAGAATAAAATATTTATTTGAATAAAATTGAATTACAATAAGAAAAAGTCATGAAAGAATGTAACCTCAAATATGATGTTGATTAATATAAAAACAATCAATCATGTTGAGATATATAAAATCATTAATGTAGTCTCATGTCCTGGGTTCGATCCTCGCTGCCCTCCACTTTCTTTCAAGTGGAATTTCTTTGTTCGCACAGGTAGGTGGGCCTGTGCATTGTCCACCCTTCAAGTCCAATGGACTCTCGTGTGAGGGGGCGTGATAAGATATATAAAATCATTAATGTAGTCTCACCCAATAGTTTAAGCTTTTGGGTTGAATTGGATACTCATATGCATATACACTGCTGCAGCTGCACATTGCATTAAAATATAATAAAAAATGATTTCACTAGTATTTGTTATGCTTATGTTCATTTGTCTTATTTTGGTAATTCCCCTTCGCTTCTAGATTTTGGTTTCTTTGACTATACTAGAAACCTCAAATTTCCATACCAACAACAACATCTTAATATAAATAATCTATTAATTTTATTGTTTAAATAATTTTTTTTAAATAATCTCAAATTAATAAATAAAAGTGGATGAGTGAGGTAAATATGTAATTATATAATTATTTAACAAGTTAATAAACAAATACAACTAGATCCCTGTTGGGCTCTGTTAGCCGTTATATTTGAGAAGTGCCTTTACTCTCATTCATCATATAATAAAAATAATCGATCTTCCATACGCGTTATATATATATATATATATATATATATATATATATATATATATATATATATTTCTTATTGACTTGTACGTCAAAGTATTTTGCATTTATCACAACATATTGAGGAACTACATGCAGATACCACCGTTAAGCCTACTCTATAAAAGTTTAAGTACAATCTCACATTATGGAATTACATATTTTCATACAAGGTCAAGAAAGAACATCAACCTCATTAAAAATTTAAAGTGAAATTATATACCTTCTACCAAAGAGGAAAAATGAAACCTTAAGTCACGGCTAACATAGGCAAATAATTTGATAATTTATCTTTTGAATGTAGGTTAATGGAAAAACAAGAAACAAATCAAGCTATATTGGTGTACAAATAAAATTGAGTTTTAATGTTTAGCCTCTTTTTTTTTGGTAGACTAATGTTTAGCCTCTAATATTTTCTTTTTGCTCGTAACATAGGATGTAGAACATCTTAATTGCTAAAGAGTAATCTTATTTGTTATCTATAAATTTTTTTTATTGTGTGACTTTTTGGATGTACTTTTAAAATTTAATTTTTTATAACTAATTTTTAAAATGTGCCCAAAAAAGGAAAAAACGTAACTGAGATATTAGATTAGATATTTTGAATTATTATTTAAGTTTATGTCTCTACAAAGTCATCAAAGCACCAGTGGTCTAGTGGTAGAATAGTACCCTGCCACGGTACAGACCCGGGTTCGATTCCCGGCTGGTGCACAATAAAGCAGTGAGGAGATTTGTGCCAACTGTGATGGATGGGTCTATCACCAGCGTCTGAATCTTCGGACGAAAGGGTGGCGCATCTGAGCTTTATTTTTTTATTTTTTTCTGTACCTTCTACTGAAATCATTCTCTGTTAAATTCCATATCGAATACGTTGTTATATACAGTGTATCTCGTCACATAAGGTCACATACGTTGTTAATTGATTTAATTTAATTTTGTCTATATTAATTTAAATTATTTTAGAACTGTTAATTAATTATTTCTAGGAGTGTTAATTAATTTCACTTAATTTTTTTATGTTAAGTTAATTTTTTTTGAAATATTAAGTAATTTAATTTAATTTAATTTAGGAGTGTTAATGAATTTAATTTAATTTATGTCTATTAATTAATTTAGTTTATATTATTTAAATTATTTTAGAACTATTAATTAATTATTTTTAGGAGTGTTAATTAATTTCATTTAATTTAGTTTATGTTAACTGTTAAGTAATTTAATTTAATTTAGGAGTGTTAATGAATTAAATTAAATTTATGTTTGTTAATTACTTTTAGTTTAATTTACTTTTATTAATTCAAATTCTTTTAGAACTATTAGTTAATTATTTTTGAGAGTGGTAAATTTATTAGACTAAGAATACTAGACTGCAGAGCTACTTACACATTATATGCTATGTAACACAGCATGTATAGCAACGTGTCATAAAAACTGACATGTAACATGCTATGTAGCATAGCGAGTTTGACACGCTGTCTGCCACGTAATCTCGCTGCACTGTGCAACGACTTATGTAACTATAAACTTGCTGCCACATGTCCACACCTAACTTGCCAGATATTGTAGCGAGTTAGGTGATGTGATATTTTGAAAAAAAATTCGCACAGATAATTTTTGTGTGAATATTGTGGCATTTTAATAGTTGTCCAAACAACTCATTATTTAAAAGTATCTGCTGATGGTTTTGAACATTCAGCCATCTTGTCCCAACAGCCAACATAACCGATTTCAATAATAAGAGGTGAAGCTTTCTTGTTACAATAATAAACAGCTTTAACAATTGCTATCTTAAGCTTACATCACACGAGTATAAATAAAGAAATAAAAAAATTGTTTACAAGAAAAAATGTTATGAAGTATAGAATCGGCTTTTGAACAAGAATGCAAGGGTTAGTAATAGCCACATTTTTCTGGCACTGAATAAGATTTTAGGTAGACAACCATGTTCCGGTTGCATAAGCCAATATATGGTTCTCTTAGTTGAGTTACTATTACAATTGAGCAATTCAAAAGCGCTTCTCACATCTTAGTATCTTCCAGCTTGCATAAGGACCCTCTCCTACATCATGCACAGAATTCACCCATCCCATTGCAGTTGCAACTTCTTCAAGTTCACTAATAACATGTATGGCGTCACGTATATAGACACGCCCACCTGGTCTTAGCATCCGATCCATCTCAAGCATTATGGTTGAGATATTACACCTTCGCCTGAGACCAAATAATTTATCAAAACACCAATAACAGCAAATGCTTATAGAGAAATAAGTACATAATTATGACCCACCTCTTTTTTTCAACAGAGAAGAGACCTGCTGCATGCAGCATATCATATGTTCTTGGGTATGTATCAAACGGTTCGCACCTGTCAAGGTACAAAAAATTTCAAGCATCAGCATAAATTCCTTATTTCAAGCATCAGGAAAAAACAAAATGGAACACATGAAATATTTGGCATCTAGTTTCAAAAGGAAATTAAATAAATAAATTAACCTCTACCTTCGGACGTTTAATCTCTTCTAGTTACAATCTCGTTTTGCTAATATATGCTTATTATGTTCCAAAGCCTTGAAACATAGCATGTATGTTTGCAGAGAACATTTATCAGATGACATCAATGCCAGAATCTGTTAATTTTAATAATAGCATAGAAAAATATAAATGAATAGTAAATATAGGTCAATAGTGTTTCAATCATTTTCCAAATGTGTTTTTGAATATAATATTCCAGAACTCATTTTGTGGAACTTGATCATTATTCTTATACCAGAAACCAATAATGCCCTCTGAATTTGACATGCTAAAACGGTTAGCTAACATAATAACGCTATTATAATGACAACTTAAGTATGAAATCACCAATCACATCAAATAAGAATAAAAACAACTTAACAAAAACATAAGCATATTTCTCTTACCAATCATGCATAACTCCTATCAGCCCTCGATCATATAGAACAGGCAAGGTATTGAATCCACTAATAGGAACAACATTTATAACCCAACAGTCAATACCAAAATCATGCAGAGCTGCAGCAAACCTGTCCTTATCAAAATGAAAGTCACCTCATAACTCATAAGTCATAATAAACACAGATAACTGCAAGGTTAAACAATCCCTTTACAGAAACCTGATAACTGACAAATGGAATCAAAAACAGAAAAAGAAAGCAAGAAGTAACATACTCCCATACCCTCCAAATCCTGCCCTCATGTCCATTACATTTCTCATGTTGTACTCCTTCCAACGGTAAACTCGAACATAACTATCTATTATTTCATTCCAATATTTTGATTCAGCCTTAAAGAGATCCTCTCTGGATATAATGGCATCTAGTTTGATGCTTTGAAGCCTGGATGGTGGTTGATGAAGGCGTGAAGGCCACTTAGTGACATTTGCTCCATATCCACCACTAGGTAACGGAGTGATGCATGCCTTAAGACTGGCATACCTGCAAAAAGTTTCATGGTTATCACTAATTCTGATATTTGTTTACTTAATATAATTCTAAACAAAAAAGGTTTGTCAAGTTAATCACTCAAGATGTTCTAGACCATCAAATTTTGTGCAGCACGTCTACATGTTGGTTGTTAATTCTTCAAGAAGGTTCTAGCTCTTCCGGTGTAGATTCTTTCTAGCCAGCTGTCATCTTTATGTGTTTTTGTTAAAAATTAAATTAACCAGTGTTCAATTTTATTTTATTTTTTGAAAAGAATAGAATGCTAGCCTTTTATAAAAATGACAAATTTGAAAGGAAGAAAAAGCATGTATTAGTGACGAAATGCACGCATCAATGGGCAGTACATAAAATTCCCAAACTACTATATTATGCATCGATATAGAAGGCCAAAATTACAACAATTTATAAACTGAAACTTATAGGAAACTTTTTGGGGATGACAATCAATCTTTAACACCTTTGACTCTGTTAGTAGCAGGCCCCCAATCAGGAAGGTAACTGTGATAAGAAATACGGAGGGGTCCAATGATCTAGTTGGGCCAGGCCCTGTTTGTAATAGTAGTTAGAGTTAATTGATATTGTTTGATATATTAGATAGAGTTACCTGACATTAATTGATATTGTTAGATATAGTAGATAGAGTCACCTGATATTAATTGATATTGTCAGATATAGATAGAGTTACCTGATAGTAATTGATATTGTTAGATATAGTAGTTAAAGTTACCTGATACAGGAGAATATTCCTCTAACGAAATAGTAGAATATAAGGAAAGGAGAGGGTATTGAGTGGTGACAAATTGACTGAGTGGGAGAGATGAGGCTCTCAAATACCTAAGGAACATCAATTTTGTCATCTTTCTTTCTCTTCTTGACCTTGGGTTCTCCATTGGTCCAGAGGAAGGTTAGACCATGTCAAGAAAATTCCTATATTTTTCCTTCATTATTTCTTTAATCTCTGGACCAGTTTTATCATACTATTATGCATTCTGGTTCAAGTAATTATGCAGTCGACAAATGAAAGCTATGTAACATAGGTAAATTGAACAATATGAAAGGTGTCATACCAAACATCATCCGGATCATCATTGGACTCACATAATGGAGGATGCACAGCAATGTCACGACTAAGGTAGCAGCTATTGTTCATAGGTTTCTGCCATACAGCAATGTAACCCTCCTTCCTTACAAGCTCCCAACAAATGCTAACAGTCAGGTCCTCCATTTCTGTTAAGTAATAAGTCCAAAGATCATGATGTTTAGAGCTAAATATCTCAATAAATCATGATCTAGGCATTTGATACCAAAAAAATATGATGTTGGAGTCAAATAACAGAAAGAGAATGAAGGGAGAAAACAGTAGACCCTGACAATGCAGTATCTATCAACCCATTGAAAGATGTATTATGCAATCACAAGGGGGAGGGGGGCACTTTTTCCCTTTTGGGGTCCATGCCATGATAGCCGGAAAAGCTAAAAAAACGTAGATATTTACATCCTTTACTACTGTTTTGGTTAACACAGAAATTATGAGCTACCTTTCCATTGTTCTTGAAGGCTCTCTTCATGTTTGTAAACAGGCTGTGCTGCCCAGACAAAGTAGCCACCTGCCCTCAGAAGCCTGTTGGCCTCAAGAAGCAAAATTCCATCTCCATTAAAGCCATAGAAAAACAGGATATCAGTGCAAAGAACTAAAGCCTTTAAGCATAGTTATGATTGTATTTTTGCCATCTTTTCTTGAATTCATTGTTTCAAAGCGTGAAGAAATCCAGAGAAAGTCTGAAATTTAAAAAAACAATGTTGTTTAAATTCGGGACTCGTAAAATAAGGAAACAAATTATAAAAAAATATAAGGAAATAACAAAATTATCCCTACATCCCTATAATTTCAACATGGTTTCAGAACCTCTAAAACCATATGATCTGCAGTTTGATCCTTGCTTCCCAAAGAACTTTTGCGTGAGGGAATGTGTTAGATATATAATATAAAGCATTCATTTATCTTCATCTAATAGTTTAAGCCTTTAGGAGAGTTGGTTCATGTCCGTTGTCATATCATATAGCACAGCAACTCATGGTAATGGGTCTAGGAATCAACTAATGAGGAGAACAAAATTATAAAAAAGTCAAGACTCAAGATAGTTTTAGAAAAAAATTATAACTTCTATTTGGTTTTCAAATTATAGCCTCCAACATTCAAAGCAAATCATCAAGTATTCAAAGTTGGTTTTTCTTTATAGAAAGGAAAAGATGACAAGAGAACCACATGTAACATCTTTTGAGTTTTGCTTCTTTACATATTTAGCCTAGTATATATTTTACTCTATCAGCCCATTCCATAGGTAGCTCAATTACTCATTTAAATTGTTTTGGTCATAAGTCACTACATGAACCAGGAAAAAATAATAGGTACACTAGGGTCCATTTTGTTTTTCACATGAAATTAAAACTACATATACTTTAAAAAAAATATAGAAAAGCTGGGCGGACGAAGGCCACTCCTCATCCCTCCAGAGATCCTTCATTGTAGACAATTAACTATAATTTCCTTTCAGATGCTTGAAATCAGGGATAAAAGGTTTAAACAGAGAAAGGAAGTACCATCACGAGTCCAATTAATTCTGCATCTTGAACAATGGATCAGATCAAATGCCTGGCTTGGGAACAACAAACGGTGTGTAGCAAATACTGCTACCATGGCAGGCACACCACGCTCAAGAGCAAACTGAATCTGATTTTCGTGAACATCTTTTGGAGCTATTGAAAGAGTTGTAACATTACGTTGCATCAAAAACGCACCAAAACTTGCCACTCCACAGCCAATGTCTAAAGCAACTCTGGTGTTGTAACCAAATGCAATATCAGGAACCATCTGCACATTCAAAATTTCAAAAGTGCTCTCAGTTTCTTAGCAACAAAATTATCAGAACGAAATTGAATAAATTACTAACCGCCGAAATCTGATCCAGGTATTTATCTGCACCATGTATAAATTGTGTTCCACCACCAGGAAAAACAAATTTATCCTTCTTTATTGATATCCAATTTTGGCCACCTTTATCTTCAACCAGACGTGTATGGGGTACATTACTGAACCAAACCTGTCATTTTATTTGTATATGAGTTAACGAGCCTTTTCTTCCCAATCTGAACCAATTGAAAAGTGTCACATGATGCAACTTAGAAATCACGGATATATGCTAATTTAATCAAGATATGACTTGAAATGCTTAACACTCGAGATGAAGAAATTTCTTCTCTAGATTATCATAATGATGAAGGTTCAGAACAAATAATAAATTCTAGTGTTTTTATTTTACTAGTAACTAAAACAACCAGTAGCACAATTTTCATCATCTATACAATTAAACCCCTTCTCAGATTCACCACCACATAACAAAACATCAAAAAATAAATAAAAAAATAACAACCTTTCACAATCAAACATCATTAACTATCATATAAACAGAACGATAAAACTTACAGAGTCCGAACCCGAAAAGTACCTCGTCTCTGCTCTTAGGCCAAAGGATGGGTCTCTTGTATCCCTTTGGTGCAGCCACCAAGCAATTCAAACCCTTCCCTTCTTCAGGGCAATGCCGCTCGTACTTTTCCCCTCTCAAGCTCGAATTCAACTTCTCAATCGCTTCCGCATTGTCCAAACAAGGTATATAATCAACCATTTTCACATCACACATCTTGTACCTCTCAACCTTCGCAGCTCTCACAACACCACCCTCATCCGCCACAAGCGAAACGCTCGAATTCAACAAGCCCTCAACGAAACCAGGATCCAAGTCCCCGATTTTGAAATCTTCCGTCATGACTCCGTTTCCATCCACCACGCCCAAATACTCCACAGGCGGCAATGGAGGCAGACGGAAAACCTTAACTCCCGGTGGCGGAGAAGGAGGAGGAGGAAGAGTAGGAGTAGGAGGAGGAGGAGAAGGAGAATGAGGTTGGTCCACGGCGGAGGAGGCATTGGAAGAGGATGAAGAGAAGAAGATGAGGGGAGAAATGGTGGTTGGTGAGTAACGAGTGAAGAAGAAGAGGAGGAGGGTGAGGGAGAAGAGTGTTAGAGCGGTGATTTTAACAAAGGAAGAGGTTTTGAGAACATCTATGGACCATGGGGTCGACAGGGACAACTTCATCATGGCGACTGATGAGTGATGAGAGAGGAAGTATTGGAGATTTTGTAAAAGGATGAGAGAGAGAGAGAGAGAGAGAGAGAGAGACAAGACAGAGAGGAGTGGATCTTGCTTAAAAGAGAGGCGAGGATTATTGAATGAGCGTCCAAGTCACGACATCAACACTAGAAAGAAACAGAAATGTTACGAGAACGAGGTTATAAATATGTGTTGTCTTGTGTTGTGTGCACGCGATGGGGACAAGGACAACTATAGAGTGAGAGTGAGGTCTGGTACCATTTTTCTAATTTTTTTCCGAAACTGAGAAAAGCAAAATGTTGTCCCACTTCCCAAGAACTTGAGTTGCAAAACTGGGAACAGCAATTTCTTGCTCATGATTATTGGGATACATTGTTTCATGATTAACATGATTATTTGCTTTCTTCGTCAATCCTGAACGTCACCGGAATTAATTCTTTCCTATTAAAATTTTATATCATTTCGTCATATGAGATTTTTATATCTATTTTCTGTTTCCGAACATTAAATAAATAGGATATAATTATTATTAACGAATAAAGAGATACATACAAAATTTTACATGATAACATCGTGTGAAATTTTAATACGAGAGAATCTATTTTCGAATATCATCTAGGTTCTAGAATTTTTTTTAAAAAAAATATAGGATTGGTTTTTTTTTTTAATTTCACGTTGAGATGCACTTATGGGGGTTTGGAACAATTTTTAAAAAAGAAAATAAATTGTTTTAATAAAAAGGATTAATATTTATTCTTTTAAAATATATAAAATTGTGTCATCTTAAATGAGAAAAAAAGATATATAATAAAAATTATAAGAGAAAAAATGTGATTTTTTTAATTTAAATTTTAAATAAAATATATTAATTTTAACTAAAATGATTATCCTTTTAAAGAATAAAGATTTTTTCATTTAATAAAATGTTGATTGTGATTCGTGATATATTTTAATATAAAATAAACTTTTTTAAAATAAGATGGGTGAGGGACTATGACAATTATGTGGGCGTAGAATCGTTTAACTACTTAAATTCAGTGTTGTTTAGGAACACTCAAGATATGGGGATAGGAACACCAAGTTCTATCATGCTGCCACCAAGTCTCGCTTGTGTCAAAACAAAATTTTAGCTCTCGTGAACGAAGAGGGCCATTGGGTCGGGGAACTTGAACCGTTAAAGGAAATGGTTATTCAATTCTTCGAGAAGGTTTACAAAAATGAAGGTGCTGGCCTTCGGCCATTCCCGCGAACTGAGTGCTTCCCTAAGATCACCAGCCCATCTTTTCAGCTTCTTCATAATGTTCCCTCTATCTGGAAATTGAGGAAGTCTTCCGTAGGATGAACCCGTACAAAGCCCCAGGCCTCGATGGATTGCAAGCCATTTTCTTCCAATCCTAGTGGCAGACCGTGGGCACCTTGGTTTGTAATGTCATCAAGAATGTTTTTGTTGACCCGTATCAGATTAGAAGTTTAAACAACTTTCTCATCTGCCTCATTCCAAAAGTTGATCATCCAGATTCCATTACGAAGATTCACCCAATAAGCCTTTGCAATGTTGTATTCAAAGCTATCACTAATATCACAGCTAATCGCCTAAGACCTGATCTGAATAACCTCATCATTCCTAATCAGTGCAGCTTTATCAGAGATAGGCATAACACTGATAATATTATCATTGCTCAAGAGATTATGCACTCTATGATATTTAAGAAGGGTAGGACAAGGTGGATATAAATTAAGGTTAATCTTGAGAAGGCCTACAATAGGGTCAACTAGAGTTTCCTCCAACAAACTTTACTTGAAGCTGGTTTTCCTACAGTTGCCATCAAATTGATCATGGAAGGTGTCTCCTCCGCCTCTCTCAATGTACTTTAGGATGGTGCCACCACTAGTGACTTCATTCCCACTCGTGGTATCAGACAAGGGGATCCCTTATCCCTTATTTGTTTGTGTTGTGCATTGAGAGATTATCCCATTTAATTCTTCAAGCTACCAATAGTAACCAATGAAAATTAGTGAGGTTGAGGAGGAATAGGCCCAGAATAAGTCACTTGTTTTTTTGCGGATGACCTTCTTTTTTTCGGCGAGGCTTTAATGGAGCAAGCCAAGCTGATCGATGGTATTCTCTCTTGCTTCTGCCAAGCTTCAGGGCAAAAGGTCAGCAACGAGAAGTCCAAAGTGTTCTTCTCCAAGAATGTTAACCATACTATGGCTGTGGAGATTGCTAGGGCCATGAATTTTTCCATCACTTTTGATCTGGAAAAATATCTTGTATACCTTTAATGCATGAAAGGGTGAGAGGAAGCACTTTCAGTTTTATTTTGAAGAAGACGGACTCCAAGTTATCGAATTGCAATAGGGCTTCACTTTCATTAGTTGGAAGAGCTACCTTAACCCATTTGGTGCTTTCCTCGGTTCCCACTTACACCATGCAAACGTGTACCTGGATCTTGTTAAAATGTGCGAGGATATTGAGAAGAAATCTTGCGACTTCTTATGGGGATCCAAGAATGATAAACATAAGTTACATGGTCTGAACTGGTCCAAGGTGTGTCAGCTGAAAGAGAAGGGTGGGTTAGGTTTAAGAAGGATGAGAGAAATAAATCAAGCCTTGTTAATGAAAATTGGCCATGGGCTACTAACGGACAAACAAAGCTTGTGGGCGCAAGTGCTAAGAAACAAATATGTTGTGGGAAATGATCTTCTGCCTACACTTACTCAGTGAGACTGTCCCCAAATTTGTGGAAGGGCATTACTCGAGTGTGGCTAAAGGTCATTAGTGGATCAAGGATCCAGTTGGAGAATGGTGCAAACACCAAATTCTGGGCTGTTAGATGGCTTCTGAGCAATAAAACTATTGATAGGAGAGTGTCGACCATAATTTCAGAGGAGGTTAACAATTGGATTGTGGATAGATATGAAGGGTGGAACTGGGCCTTGATCAAGCAATTTGCATCAGATCTTTTTTACGCCAAAATAGCTAACATCATGCCTCCGTCAAGTCTAAGTGGTGAAGATGTGGTGACTTAGGCCAATACGAGTAATGGTCTTTTCTCTGTGAGTTTGGCTTATTACCTAGTGGAAGACAACTTCCTGTTGCAAGCTAATAGAACCGTCTTTGTTCCTCGGAGTTGGCTAGGTCCTAGACACATTCAGTTTTTCCTATGGAAGACCCTAGGCATTACGAATGTTCAAAGCCTTCATAGGCATATGTCATCTTGTGCTCTATGTCCGAGATAAAATATCATCCAGAGGATATTCTTCATTGTCTGAGGGACTGTGATCGGAGCAAATGCATTTGGAGGATGTTTCTTGCTGATAATTCCCCCATTCTTTCTTTATTGGACCTTCAGGAATGGCTGGTTTCAAACCTCCAGTCTAAGAGTTTTTGGTGCGTTGGGATTGGAGTTAAATCTTTGGCACCATGTGCTGGTTTATTTGGAAAGCTAGAAACGAGTTAGTTTTTGAAAATAAGCTAACTAAGAATGGTGACTCAAAAAGTGAAGGTTTACGTGACAAATTTTAAGAATGCTAATTCGATGCATGAAACTCAAGGTCTGCAGAATAGTGCTAAGAAAGTGAGATTGGTTCGTTGGGAATTCCCCCCTGAATGCTAGGTAAAGCTCAACGTAGACAGGTCTAGTAATGTATGTGGGGGGGGGGGGGGGGTGTAAGGTCTGGTTGCGGAGGGGTTATCTAGGATGCTAGTGGAAGGTGGGTCGCAGAATTTTGCAAGAACTTGGGTAGTGGTTTGTCGTTGAGGGCGGAGGTATGCGGTCTACTTAATGAGATTCAAGTCGCTTGGAACCTGGGGGGTGAGAAGTATCTGGATTGAAGGCGACTCTCAAGTGGCAATCACCACGTTACATGTCAATTTGATAATAAGCATCCTCTTGCCCCTCTTGTTCACGAAATCCAAAGGCTACTTAAAGGACCCTGGATGACAAAGATTTGTCATACTCTTCGCGAGGGGAACATGGTAGCTAATGCCCTAGCCTCTCTAGGGAGTGAGTTAACAAATTGGGATATACATATATATATTATACGCCTCCTAAGGAGTGCAGGGACCTTCTCATGAGGGACGTGATGGGTACATGTAGCCCTAGCTTTGTACTTTGTATTAGTTCTTTTATTTCCCTGTTGTTGAAAAAAAAAAAATAGTGTTGTACTGGTTTGTGTCCTACCATACCAACATAACATAATTAAGGGTCGTTAGGGGATAAATTTTAGATTCTCGTGAAATTCACTTTGGGAATCCTATTTATCCATATTTGGTACAAGAATCCTTAAAATTTTATTGGAAAAATAAGATATTGGGAATTAAAATTATGAATAAGAATCCCATGAAATAATACCACCAAGTAAGTGGTATTTTTGGATTCCCACCTGATGAGAAAATTTTACATAATTTGTAAGACATAAATAACCCTACTTTAATCTTTTCATGACTAAAATACCCTATCTTCTTAAAGCTCTAGTCATGATACTTTTTCTATTTCACAGAATCGTAGGTTCCTCTCTTCCATTTCATGACACCTTTACTTGGTTCCTCTCTTCCCTTTTTGTGGCATATCATAAATTTCTTTCAAAAATTCTCAAAGTATTGTAAAATCAGTTCATATTCCCAAAAATAATTAACAATTAACTAAACATAGAATCAGAAAATTTGAGCCAACAATACTGAAAATATTTTGGCTTATCAAATAACTTTTTGGTAATATTTCGAGGAAATTCAATTTTCCATTATATTCCTGAAATCATGATTCCCAATAACAAACAAATTTATTCTCTGCCAAAAGTCCTTTACATATTATGCTTGTATTGATTATTAATTTTTTTTGAGATTTTTAAATGCTGAACTTTTTTTAGGATGAGGTATTTTTTTAAAAAAAATTAAAATCCTGAATTTAATCTTGTATTTAAAATATAACCGACCTAGTCTGGCTTACGAAATTATTAAAAAAATACTTTCATTTCTCTAATTATCAATTGTCAACATGATTTGTTTGAGAAAAAACTT